CCTGCAGCTAACGCGCGCGTGCTTCAGCGCGCCGCGTCACAGGAGAGCGTCGCCGAACTAATGGAGCGTTGCCGCGCCGCGCCGCCGGTAGCGCGCCGCGTCCGAAGCGGCGCGCAAGCGCCCTGCGCGACGGGGCCCGACGGCGACTCGCTTTGCCGCCTCGGGGAGCGGCTCGGCGGCCGCAGACCGCGCGGTGGACAGGACCTCACAGGCCCCGCACGACGGTCGCGAGGCACACAAGCGCGCGTCCAACGTCCCCGAATCGTCGAAGTCGACCTAAGGGAGCGTTACCGCACCTAGGCCTGGAGCAACTTGACGAGCTCGAGGAGCTGGGCGACGGGCGTCGCCGCCGGCGCCGGCGCCTGCTTCTCCTCGGCCTCCTCGTCGTCGTCGTCGCCCTTCGTCGCCTGCTTCTTCTTCTGCTTGGCCTCCTCCATGGCCTTGCGCGTGTCGCGCTGGTCGAGCTCCGTCGCGATGTCCTTGACGCCGTCGAGGGCCTCGCGCGCTGTCGCGCGCCGGCGGTGGATGAAGAAGCCTTGGAGCGCCGCCGTCGAGAGCGGGCGGTCCCCGAGGACCTCGAAGAGCTTTTTCGCGAAGTCGCCCGCGAGGCCCGCGTCCGCGGCCGGGTAGAAGTTCTCGAACATGAGCGACGCCTGCTCCGCGACGCAGTACCGGAACTCGACCTGGACGTCGACGCGGCCGTGGCGGATGAGGGCCTCGTCCAGGTTCTCGCGCTCGTTCGTCGTGAGCACGAAGATCTGGCCGCTGTTGGAGCCGATGCCGTCGAGCGCGTTGAGCAAACCGGAGAACGTGAGCGGCGTGTCGTTCTTCTTCTGCCGGTTCTTCTGGAACATGGCGTCGATGTCCTCCAACACGACGATGCTGCGCGACGGCACGCGATGGATGGCGGTCTTCAACGCGTCGTCGCTCATCTCCTTGTCGCAGAGCTGGAGGTAGCAGACGTTGCGCTGGAACTTGCCCGCGAGGCCCGCGATGAGCGAGCTCTTGCCCGCGCCGGGCACGCCGTAGAAGAGGTAGGACCGGCGGTAGGGGACGCCGTGCTGCGTGTAGAACTTGCGCGTGTCCGAGGACAGGAACTCGGCCAGGTCGCCGACGACGCGCGACTTCGTCGCCGCGGGCAGGACGATGGACTCGAGCGGGCGCGCGAGCTCCCGGGACTCGTGGCGCCAGTACTGGTGGCGCAGGTGCCAGCGGTAGATGGCGTAGCGGCGCGGGTCGGCGACCTCGCTCGCCTCGATGAGGTCGTCGCAGAACTTGCGGACGCGCGCGAGGCCGCCGGCGGCCTTGCTCGCGAAGACGACGAGCGACCGGTAGAGCGCGACGCCGCAGTCGGTGCCGCAGGGCTCGCCGACGGTCTGGTGCAGGACCCAGAGGTCGCCGACCTTGAAGAGGCCGAGGCCCGCGAGCACCGCGGTGCGCTCGCCGGCCGGGCAGCCGCAGTCGTCGAGCGACGACTCCTCGTCGTCGTCCTCGTCGTCGTCGCGCTTCTCCGTCTGCTTGACGAGGAAGCTCTTGCAGGCCGCGTCCTTGGCGACGGCCGCGAGGACGAGCTCCCGGAGCTGGCCCTCGTTCGGCGGCAGCTCGACGTAGTCGGCGCCGTCGGGCAGCAGCGCCGCGAGCTCGGGGTCGCTGATGCTGGTCGCGTCGAAGGGCAGGTCCTCGTAGGTCGGCATGGCTTGCGAGTCGTCGAGGGTGCTGCGGTGTGTTTTGCTTTGTGTGGTAGCCGTGGATGCGCTTGACGATGTACTGCTGCAGCTCACGGAGGCCGCGGTGTGCTTTGCTTTGCTGCCCAGAGAGGATTGCGCGAAGCACCGCTGCTCAGCGCTGAGCGCGGCGGTTTGACTGCATCTTTGCCATGAAAAGGCCATGAGCTGCCCCCTCGATTCGAATTCCATCGATGTTCCAGCCCTGACCGGCGCTCTCCTCGATGGCACTCGGCCGGCGCCTCTCGTCGGGCGACGTCCCGGCGCCGACGAACTGGCGCGCGCGCGCCCAGCACCGGCGGCGCTACGGCTTGATCTGGGCGACGGTCGTCATCATCGTGTCGAGCTACTTCGGCAGCCTCGTCGTCGTCCGAGCGTTCGACTCGGACGACGTCGACTGCTCGGACACGTGCGCGGACGCGCCGCTCAACGAGACGGGCACGGTGCTCATGATCGGCGACCGCCGGCGTCCCGCGGCCGCGGCGAGCGGTTCGAGAGCGCGCCGGAAACACCGACAACGGGCGCGATCGTCTTAGGCGACAGCATCCTCAAGGGCTACTACGACATCGTCGCCGGCATGCTCAACCCGGGCGACCAGTGCCTCGAGAAGGGCGTCGCGAAGCGCGGCGTGCTCGCGAAGACGGTCTACGGGCGCTTCGGCAGCGGCAACGGCTACTGCGGCACGTCGTACGGCGTGAACCAGTGCCTGGACCGCTACTTCGCGACGACGACGAACAACTTCTCCGTGATCCACTTCTCCTGGGGGCTGCACGACATCTGCGCGACGCGGCGTCCTGCCGAGGCGCCTCGTCCGGGG